TTCGACGTATAACAATAAATACATTTCGATTTTAAAATGGTCTCTCACAGTAATCAAATACCTTATATAGACTCAGACATCTTTAATTAACCAACCACCCATTATTCCATCAAATGGGCTTAAAAGGGGTTGTAAATGTACATTACAGACTGAATTTAACTTAAAGGGTCTATAATTTGAGCACACAAAGCCGAATGTTGGATAAATAGATAGGAATTCGAGCCTGCATCGCCCCACATAAAAGGGCTGAATAACTGACCACTCCGCGCAAACATTCCAACGGATTAAAACGCAAATTGCTTTTAGAGAAATTCATAATCCATGTTGTATTTGTGCTTTTGTTTTCTTTGTTTGTAATGTTGGTACAGCTCATTCATATTTTTATGAGTTTCTTAAATAAACTCAGCGAAATTGTTTTAGGATTTAATGGAGGCCCAAGTTTATAATATGAATGTATTTTATGAAAAAAAAAATGTTTCCTTAGCCTTTAAATTCAAGATTTACTGTTTACCAATAAATTTACGCTATTTACTAGACCTAGTGTAAGTATATATAAATTGTTTGGCTTCTTGTTATTTATTCAATTAGCTAGTAGCTGCATATACAATATAATAAACCAAGACTATACTCATTGACTTTGGACTTTGTAATACTAAGGTAGCCATCCATACTGTTAGTGAACATGTGTAGGGGAGATTTAATTCAAATACAACCTTTTAAAAGATCCTTTTGCCATTTTTGATTCTGTGAAGTTTATTGTTCTTTCTCAGTTTTAGTTCCTAAATCTATCATACAAATTTATGAGTTAATTCATCCCATCAAAAGTGACGTTTAAATTATTAGGTGAGCACTATAACCACTAAGCAAAACAAACTATTCAAGAAGGGGATTCCCCTTGCCCTTGAGACATTCACTTTCAAGTGTTTGGATAAGGTTAAAAATGTACAAGTGAGTCCCTACAGAAAACGTTTCATTAAGGCCTCATAATTAATTCTCTCCCCATTCGTTATACCAATCTAGTCGTAAATAATGCATCTTCAATTCTGAAACGGCAATTCTATTACAGTAGTATACTGAACTTTCCTATAAAAGCTGGTTAAACAATTAAACTACTTTAATTATTTACCTTTAAACATAATTAACATGGACATTTTCTTGAGTTTGTGAAAGTTCAAGGTGTGTTAAGATTATTTGGTAGGAGCTGATCTAGTTTTTCTTGCACGAAACTAAATAGGTACCAGTAAACTGATAATTCACGAAGTCTGTTACGCTGCATTTCTACGATTCTGGAATACAGGAGATGTAAACGTTTTTTGTGGATAATCGAGAGTTTCTCTTTTTCTATTTCTAAACTCTCTATGTTAACCACCCAAAAATTAAAAATTTGCGAAACCTCAATGTGTATGTTCCAGCATAGCTATTATGCTTGCTGTCAGAATCCATTGATTTTTTACCGCACCCGTCAAAACGTAGATTTCTTACATTTCATTGAACATATTGGTTGTCATCAGAACATTTCTGGATTTGATATTTATGCTGTCAGATAAGGTACAAATCGCAAAAAAAATCGGCCATAATCCATCTTTAACTTATAGTTATCTATTGATTTGTAAATCAATAGGTTTGCACAACTGCAACACTATAATATACGTTTCAATTAATGATTAATTAATATGTTAACATAGTTTTTCCAAAGAAAATACAAAAACCTATATTTGTATTCGATTTGTATAGTTTGATCTATATTTGGGTTCTGAGCCATGAGGTAAGGGTAATTTTGGATACCTAAATTAATTGGGAAGATTTAACCCCAGGCCTGAACCAATGACAGAATTCCCGAGCTCAAAACACCAGGAAACTAAAACCCCAAAAAACTCCCGACCCTTCTAATACTCAAAATGTATATTGCATACCTTAAAAAAATACAGTTTTAACCAATTATATAGTCACCTTTTTTTAAATCGTAAACAATTTAAAAGTTAGTGGAGGATTTTGTCGCAGTGTCTGTCAAAAAGTCCAATTTATATAATTTTACACGTTGAATGGATTAATAACGACAAAAGTAATGTTACAGGGTGGAAGTGATACGATTGATTTTATTCATGAGTTTGGACCCTCGATCTTCAGTCAGTCCTATTTGCTTCTTTTCTCTTTCAGATGACGTTTATTTTAAGGCTTCATGCTGTTTATACCCACCACTAATTTTTGTTTTCACCGTAATTCAAAACCGATGTTAGTTTGTTTATTCAATTAAAGTTAGAAATAACTTATCATAAAAAATCGTACAGCCATACTTTTGTAAAATGTCCTACTAGATATTTATAAAAAATAAACCTGTAAATCGTTCAATAACACAATATGTTAGGCTGGTTTTCCGTATTGTATTTCGTTTTAGTTTATTGAACGAAATTAAATAAATGAACTATTAATTTAAGGATCAACCTTAGCCTATAAAATTACTTACTTGCTTATGATAAAATTCGTGTAATATATCATCTCAAATACTCATGTAAATTGGTACTTAACTAATTTATTTCTTTAATAATACGTACATACTTAAGTCTGGTTCGAGGTCATACAAAATTAATCAACACACTTTAAAGGTTGCCTGGTAGTACAAAAGCTAACAGTGGCTCTAAAAAAATATTATTCTTTTTATCGATGTCGTATTTTTTTAAACACATTCGACATCACATAATTTCCCTTTTGTAGACTCATGTCCAAGTGATTTTAGTGAAGGTTATTTAAAAAAGGGAAATGCTCCATGTCGAGAGACAAAGTTTGAATTTATTTTTTGGTAAATTTTTTTCTATATAGGAGAAAGTTTAAGGTAGGCTCAAATCATTTGATAAATGAGTCACTAAGTATCACATAGCTAAAGTGCTTAAGTGATTGGTGTGACTTTGACAGGGAACACTGGTGTCCAGGTCAATAATACAACAGTCCAACCAGTCAACCAGTGAAGATTTTTCTTCTATAGTTGAAGTATTAAATTTTATTGAAAGTAGAATCCGACCATTCTGAAGGGATCAAGTAGTTTTCTTGGTTTACGAGCGTGAAAAAGATCCGTTCTGTGAAAATAAAACATGAGGAAAGCAACCCTGGGAATGGTACAGTTGAAGGGTTATTTCTGTATATTGCCTCTGAGTAACTATTGGGTGAATATATTTAGAATCCAAATTTATACAAGATATTACCATAATTTGTACTAGGCTTCGGGGATAAAATCTGAATAATAATATCAGCCAACCTCTCATGAACATTATTCGTTTTGACACAACACAAAAACAGTGTTCACTAAAATTGTCAATGTTACAAAAAATATATGTATAAAAAAAATTGATAATAAATATTATTTTGCATTAATATTCTTTTTTCCGTATTTTATAAGATATATAAAAAATATATATATATAAGACTTTTGGCTTTTATATATAGATTTTTTATTATCCTGGACCCTATGGGTTGCCATTTTGGTGACGAAATAACAACAAAATATAAACAGTAAATCAAAACAAATGGAAAAAAGTCCAATCAAATATTTTATTTACAGCGTGGGGTGAAAATAGAGAAGTTTGCACAATACATACTTTTGGTCGAGATTTCGCCCACCGGGTGAGCTTTCGTTTATATTAAATAGCTTACTTTCATGTATACTGTGTAACTAAAATACAGTGAAAACTTTAGTACGGTGTGAATTCAATAAACAAAATTATAATCAATTTGATTACTTACTTTAACTTGTTACCGCATAATGCAATTTCAAATTACAAAGACTCTAAACCGAAAAAGTTCCTAACTTTAGTGGAAAACATTTCCAAGTATCTTCCCTTATATAAATAAATGATTAGAACGAGCCGAGCCTCTACAGTAAACTCAGAGTTGGCTGCGAATCAGTAATTAAAAGGCACAATGCCGATAAAAGTAAACAAAGAGTACGGAGCTTCGCTGGAGAGCGGCTTTGGATAAAAGACTTAAAATACTAACTGAACAAACCACGGGCTCGAGTGTTTTATCAGATTAAATACACCGAAATACTTTCATTCGTTAAAAACTGCAGAGATATAGCGTTAGTAACTAAAACTTGTTCATAAGTAATAGCAACACTTATTGAATTTACGGAGATTTTATATTTTATAGTTTTATTTATACTGGAATAAAAAAATAAATTTTGCCAATATAAGTTTTATTAGCTTAGGTTTCACAATTGTACTCATTTGAGTTTAATCTGGATTCAGCTCTATCAAAAGGAAAACGGTCGGTCTAGTGAGTTGTTCGTGCATAGAACTACTTTTATAATTCATGGTTTATTCTAGTTTTGATACGTTGGTATTATTACACTATAAGTTCTATTGTTGGATCAGCTGTCTGTCTGTGTAAAACAATAGCATTTAAGAAACGTGAACGGCTAAAAATAAAATGCACATATTGTGGATTTATTTGTTGGAGACTACTCTAGGATTATTACTCAGTGCTATATTTTGGACAATTAATCCACTGGCGTAAATTTTATATCGCCAATACGTCTATGATAATCTTTGGTACGTCTACTGTGTACTTTTTAAACTAATAAGATAGAATTTGTGCGTGGTAGTAACACTTTATTACTGTAACTGTAATCTTTGCTAATAGATATTACAGTTATTTTTGAAATGACTTATTTATTTTTGTAAAGGATGTCAGATGTTTCAGTTACCTCATAGATCAACAACAAAATTGAACTTTTTGAAAAATAATTACGGTATTTGAAACTAAATAAACAAATTTAGGCCTAGTATAAAAACACAAATATAAAAACTATTCATTGGTTGGAAGAATGTAAATATAGTATAAGTTATCAACTGTCTATATTGGACTGGGTGATTTGTTTTGTTTATATTTTTTATGGTTGCTAACATTCTGTTCTTGATAAAAAATGTTATTAATTTGTCCAGTTAATAATTTCTTATTTAGTACAGGTTAAACTTATACAACGTATCATAAAAAATCTTTTTTTCCAGTGGAAGCAGCGTTGGGGTGTCGTCACTAAACTTTCACCAGCAGCAGGTAAGGTTACACATTAATAATATTGATAATATAAATGGTTTTTTGATTGCCAAATGATATTTTGACCCGTTTTTTTAAGTCTAATTTACACTATATTTATCAGCGTAGAACACCTATGTTAGATGAGATTATGAGATCTCGTACGAGAATTGAATCGTTGGAGTAAGCTAAACCAGTCATTCTCTACAACATGAGATCACGTACGAGAATTGAATCGTTGGAGTAAGCTAAACCAGTCATTCTCTACAACATGAGATCTCGTACGAGAATTGAATCGTTGGAGTAAGCTAAACCAGTCATTCTCTACAACATGAGATCTCGTACGAGAATTGAATCGTTGGAGTAAGCTAAACCAGTCATTCTCTACAACATGAGATCACGTACGAGAATTGAATCGTTGGAGTAAGCTAAACCAGTCATTCTCTACAACATGAGATCACGTACGAGAATTGAATCGTTGGAGTAAGCTAAACCAGTCATTCTCTACAGCTACAATCTAGGCTTGCGTGATTACAGGCGATCAAAAACTTCCTCTCAGCCCTTCCCGCCAATCAAGTCTACATTCTAGGAAAGTTTTACAGAACTCTGAATTTGTGGAAAAAACTGGGTCACATAAAAAGTCCATGAAATTTTGACCAACTTGACCCATAGAACAATGATTCTACATATTTAAAATATGTAATTTTTCAAAACCTAGTTTTGAAATAAATATTTAAAAAAGTATATCTTCTTGGTTAATGTTAAACTATATTATTTAGATGTTGAAATTGTTTCAATGAACTGCGTTGAGTAAAAATTTTCAAAGGCATTAAGTTAATGTTAGCCCATGTTTTTATGCTATTGTCACCACAGAAATGCCATATATACCATATTGAAATACCTTATAGAAATAATCTTTCATATTTGGGTTTAAACACGCAAAGTTGAGTTCTCAACTTAGTCGGTATTATATAATGAGCTTAATTACTGTAGATTTTTTTATGTAGGAGAAAAGTAAAAATATAATATGTAGTGTCATTCAATATACAAATCAGAATAGTATAATTAATAGATTTTTGAATAGAGTAGTTACATTCTTTTCTCGTATAAATAATTACCAAATTGATTACGTAATTCATTAAATCATTTCATACTGGTACTATTTGCGATTTTTTGTTGCAAATGGTTAATTTAATGCAATAAAACATTTTTGCTAGCTTAGTCTACTACTTTCTATCTAAGTATTTTTTTAGGTTCATAGTAGCCTAGGAAGGGGTGAAATGACTGTTGAGTTTAATGTCACACATCACGCAATTCTCATGCCATGCGCATGCTGTTACTTGTAGATACCCTGATGCGAGTGTTTAATCATTTTTGATTTAAGTTATGACATATTTTATCATATTTTCGCTTTCTTTTAATATTTTAAAGCACATCTCTCATTGATCATTTTTACATTCATTCAAAGAATATAAGACGTGTTTTACTATATAAATAGTTATATAAACTATAGATTTTATTTTCAGTCGATAATCATAATTTACCCATGGAATAACTTCCATTTGAATGTAACGTTAGAACACCCAACTTTCTAAATCCGTTACTAAAATGAAGACACTTCGAAAGGTTTTGTGTTTTAATTGGCTTTTAGAAAGTAGACGAGATCCAAATCTATAGTAATATTATTGTTAAATTCTTAAATAGGCTAATTTAAAATATTGAGAGTTTAAAATGTATACTGTTTCAAACCTGCAATTTTCTATTATGTTATAAAAGAAATACACTTAGTATATCCATAGTTCTTATTTATCTTCCAATACAACAGTTTTATTACAGTTAAAACATTTTAATAAGAACGGAATTATAAATATTTTTCCAAATTATTAGTAGTACCAGATATAAGATACTAGATGTTTCTTTCAAAAATAGTAGGAAATAATAGATTAATGGAAAAAATAACATATGCTGGCTCTACAAGAGTCAATGTCATGTAAAGCTAAAAATGGAGATCAATAGCTCAAATAAATATATTCACCGTCAAAAAAGGTCTGTATACAAACAATGATGTGATTTCATAACCGAAAAACTCATTAGGAATAATTTAAACTAAAGTGAATTCCATATACCGAAGTTAAACATTAAGAAAGCTTATTTCATCAAGATTTTCGTGAGGTGTAGATGGTGTTTTCGTTTTCTTATAGACTGATGGTGAAAGTATGTTTACTTAGGCTGGAAACAAAGGTTGGAGTTTTTGTTTCTTCTTGTCAATCAAGTACAATACCCTATATAAGTTTCTTCCCAAGAAAACATTGGTATGCGTAAATTGAGCTTTCATTTTCTTATGATAAACACAATTATTTTTGACTGCCCTTGTACAAATATAGTAAAATATTTCATAAAGGTTTATGAAGTAGTTTTCAACTATCTAGTTGCGTTATTCCTGCACAAAAAGTCTGCAAATAAATTTACATTCAGCAAAAAATCAGAGTTTGAAAAAACACGCTCCCATTAACCTTTGCTGAACGACTTTTAAATATCAATCTCCCTTGACAGTAACGATTGCTGCTGAATATTTATAACAAATGTCATATTTTACAGTTTGAAAATAATTACTGACTTTTGAGCTTTTATATTGCATATCCGGACCACAAATTGAGGTATAGCTGGTATTAGTGGACGTATTGTGTTGTATTTTTTAAGAAATTTTATGTTTACACTAGTAACAAAACATATAAATACATATAGTTTTAAAAGTGGTATCTGGCTGGCTACAGAAAATATATTATAATATTTTGCCAACACCATATCCTTATGCTTTTACAATAATGCTACAATTAGTGGCCTAGAAAGCCATCTAAAGCTAAATGTCGGCATAAAGAGTACGAAACAAGATCTTCCAAAATAAGAATGAAAAGATTAACAAAATATTAATAGAATCTATTAATGGAAATATTCAAATTTTAACGCAAACTGCAGCCATTGTTGAGTTTATGGGGAGTGAGCTGGCGTAGTGGTTAGAGCGCGGGACTTTAGTCCCTGAGGTCCCGGGTTCGATCCCTGCCAAGTCACCAATGGATTTTATCTTAGTGATAATGCCGCAACCCCTGGGTCTAGCCTGAAGTAATGTGAAAAACAATCCCAGGCTCGTGCCTAGCGTCCTTAGGACAAAAAAATTTTTGAGTTTATGACTGTAGTCAATGTTATGGCAGATGACTCTCCCACCTAAACAATTTCATTATGGTCAGAGATTGTTTGGATGCTTTATTAGAATATTTTAACAAATGATTCATGTAGAATCTATAATATTTAACCTAAAAAAATACTATTTTGGTGGTTTTTTTTCAAATTGTCAATACTCATAGTGAAATATTTGTTATTGTTTTAGAACTTACTCTATGTAATTAGTTAAACCGTAAAAATTAAAATTTGTCCACCAAATATTTTTGTGAGTACGGTACCGTTCTTAAGAATGTAATTTAAGTTATTACTTTGCCAGTTTTTGTTTTAAGATATTTATTGCATTAATATTAGTAGGAAAAGTAAGAAAACAAGAAATTACACTTGAGCATATAGGCCTAGTTGAATATCTTCTTCAATGGGGCAAAAACGTGAAAGAGAGAAATTTATCTCTTTATAATGAAACTACTGTTTTAAATAGTTGAAAAAGTTACAAATCCAACAATTAATTATTCTTTATAAATACCAATGGAATTGGAGTATCTTGGTTTTACTTAAAATATTATATAGACGCTTTAGGCTACCTATTACGACATGTACAGTGGTAGCAAAACGGGAGTGCCAATGGAGACCTGTGGGGGTTCGTGCGTTTGAAGGAACTTGACCTGGTCACCATCGGCATTCCCGTTTTGCTACCACTGTAAGTGGCGTTGATACATTTCTGAAAGTACCGTATCGGTGATTTTATTTTTAAAATATACGCTTATTTAAAGGGTTGTTAACTGAAAAAGGTAAATATATAAATGTGAATTTAGTTGCGTTTTTGGCCCCTAGCTTAAACACAAATACATAAAGTGGCCCTGAGTCTAGGACTTACCATGTATAAATAGAATAAACGGCAAATCTTCTTTCTTTTAAGGGAAAGTTGCTATAACCAGACGAGGTAGTGAGGTTAGCCCACTAACGTATTCCAAGGGTTGGGATACAAAGGTGTTCAGTGGGGGGAAGGGGTTGTTGGGAAGGGAAGGAAGTTTTTGATAGTAGTAGATCACGCAAGGCGGGTGTCGGCCATGTTGTTATTACTTATAGATCAGCCGATAGAAAAGATTACAATCAAGTATTGTGATACGGCTCTTTCTTAGGGGACGAGGTCCTACAAACTAATAGTTTTTAGCCCTATTCGGAGATAAACAAGATTCGTAATTTCAGTGCTAATATGCTGAAGTTTGCATTTTAAGGATAAGTTATAGCAGTTATCAATGAAACAAAGTCAAAGACTAAATACACTTAAAATACTGAGGTTAATTATATTACCTATAATTTTTATTTAGGTTGGACTTCTTATTTCAAAGATATTATTTCAAAACAAAATTTCTGATTTTTAAACATGATTTGAACAATTATTCCAATAAAAAGGTATTTAAAATTTTCCTCGGTATGCTTAACGATTTTAGAATACATGATACATAATAAACTGTAAAATAAAACAAAATACACACAGAGAATCAAATTGTAGTTTCAAAGTTTAAACACAATTTTAAGTCAATTTAATTTGCACGAAAAATATAAAAGGGTTAATCAAAACATATTCATCTGAAAACTTTTTGGATTACTTCATAATTTGTTTAAATTTAAAGTTAACATTTTATAATCATGCACACCATATGCAGTGCATTTCGTTTGCAATAACCCCATCAACGTTCCCTATAGGTTGACTTTTTCCTTACAAAGTAACCAATATGCCACCTATAAGCTTGGAAGGTCCACACAAAGGCGTATGGTAAGTACACGGAATGCACACATTGATTTTAAGTCTTATAAGATATTTCTCAAAATGATGGGTG